ACTGATTTATGGAACTTAACTGAATTTAATATGAAAGTATTTTAGCGTACTCACTCCTTCCTTGCACAAACTAGACATTAAATTATGATATATCGACCAAACTTCCCTTTCATGCTTAATACGTTTTCAGCCTGTTACTTTAATGAAGAGTTCGCGGTACCATTCTGTGTCTCCTACCACCATCGACCACTAAAAGTCTTTAACTGCTGTGTCATGCACTTCTAATTACATTAATGTTCTTAATGTTGGTAACATTAGTGTATTAAATCCACTCCATCACACACACGTAAGATATATAAAATCAAAGAAACTACGTTGTAAATACAGACAATAATAAAACTTTTGATCACTTTTTGTAGGAATTATTGTAAAAAATGTTGTAACTGTGGGCAAGTGCAGATTGTTTACCAAATACAATATTTCTGTTATTCTAATCTAAAACTTCTTGACGATGGTGAAGAGTCAATTGAATAAAAAAATTTCTTGGATATTATCCATCGTCTAGTAAATATAAAACGTAAAACGACGTTTCGGAGATGGGACTCTATCTCCGTCTTCAGGTTCCTACACAGTTGGGCCCACTAGATAGAGCTAATCCCTATCTCCGGACCTAGGAGAAATAGAAAAATACTCGAAGATAAAATTATCTTGAAACAAAATATATTTTTACGTTTAAGGGCTGTTAGCCTCAAGTCCGACCCCGAAGCCTCGAACCTGGAATAATTCTTTGCCATAACCTACGTAATGTAAAAAGGACATGAAGATAGACCTTTGGGAGATAGGAATCGACGGAGCGAACTGGATGCAACTGGCTCGGGATAGAGACCAGTGGTGGGCTTTTGTTAACATGGTTATGAACCTTCAGCCGAGTATATTCGACTTTTCAAAGAATTTCTTGAACCACAGAGCGAGTGAGTGATATTGAAACAAACTGTAACAGAAGATGCATCAATTTAAGGCGATTACGAACTAAGAATGGATGAGAATAATAAATTCTGGCAGACCCCTAGAATAATTTTAACGAATATAATAAATACTACAATTAAGCAAAGGCCTACATGGAGTAAACTACAATATCAAAATTAGTTTATTTAATGACTTTTTTCATTAGCTCAAACTATGTAACGTCGAATGAGGGGATGATAAATTGAAAAAAATGTGAAGGAAGCGGTCGTGGACTAATTTAAGGTATCCGGCATTTGCTTAGAGGGGCTGAGGAAAAACACGAACATCATCAGTTACGCAAACCTGTCTCCTTAATCCGCTACTTGTTAAGGTCCACAAAGGGCCATCTTCACGTGGTATAATTTTATTACGAATAATATTAGTTGTTTGTGTATTAAACTTTAAAAATTCAACAAATGTGTGGGCTAAAGAAGGTTAAAACTAGACTCTTGTTTATATCACAATTTTGTTGTTTTTTTAGTGACAAGTTCTAGGGATCCTTGTTCACATTTATTAATATTCACTTTTTGTCTAATGTCGAAGGTTATGATCGATCAGATGACGGTTTCGTCGCACGTAGAATCGATTTGTTGTGTTGTTTGGTCCAGAAAGTTGCCATGTGGACCAAAACTTCACTTCTTTGAATATTAAATATAAAACTTCTTGACGATGGTGAAGAGTCAATTGAATATCCCTATCTCCGGGTCCGGAGATAGGGATTAGCTCTATCTAGTGGGCCCAACTGTGTAGGAACCTGAAGACGGAGATAGAGTCCCATCTCCGAAACGTCGTTTTACGTTTTATATTTACTAGACGATGGATAATATCCAAGGAAATTTTTATTCAATTGAGTCTTTGAATATTACTTCGCTAAAATTGTCTTCGATGTAACAAATATATTTTATTCTGAGTTTAATTAACTTAATAGTTAAATTCGTGGTATATAATAGTTTCAGAGACAATCGACTTCAGAGCAATCAATGTATCACAAAGGACCACTTTTAGGTGCAGAACACCAATTTGTCTCGCTTTGTCCTTCCGTCCGTCCGTATGCAAGTAACAATTTGATAACGGCTCAATGGATTTCAACGGAGTTCTGTATGGAATTTATGTCATTGAAGGCTAGTTCAATCTCGTCCCTTAAAATCTCCTATAACCCACGTGACAGATGCTCAGTTTCGTTAGGTTAAAGAATGATCTTCAGCGATGACACAGTTGCCCATAATGATTAGCGATCACGTGATATCATCCTTTTCGAACAAATAAATTCATATAGAAACCATCACTGTAATATTTACGTGATTACCAAGCTACGAGCAGTGTTCTTCCAGCATTTTATCTGTGTACGCTACAAAGACGTAACAGATGAATAATTGATCAGATCTTTTGCATTCGTCAGATACTAGAGAAAAAATGAGAGTTCAGTGCGACCGTACATCAATTGTTTATAGATTTCAAAAAACCCTGACTCTGATAAGAGAGAAGTGTCATATAATATTCTTATTGAATTTGGTATACCAAAGAAGCTAGTGGGTCTAATAAAAATGTGCTTAAATGAAACTTGTAGAAAATTCGAGTAGGTAAATATGTATCTGAGACATTCTTCATCAAGAACGGTCTGAAACAAGGAGATGCTTTGTCTCCCTTGCTCTTTAACTTTGCGCTAGGATATGCTTTCAGGAAAGTCCAAGATAGGCAGGAGGGTCTGCAATTGAATGGGACACATCAGCTATTGGCATATGCTGATGATGTTAATTTATTGGGGGACGATATAAATACAATAAAGAGGATCACAGAAGGAAGCCTGAGGGGAAGAGACCGCTGGGGAGACCTAGACGTAGATGGGAGGATAATCTCAGGCGGGATCTATGGGAGATAGGAGTTGAAGGAGACTGGATTTTGTTGGCTCATGACAGGGTCCGGTGGAGGGCTTTGGTTAATTCGGTGATGAACCTTCGGGTTCCGTAAGCCCTCTGGTTGGTTGGGTCCACTATTTGGGAAGCCTGAGGGGAATAGACCGCTGGGGAGACCTTGACGTAGATGGGAGGATAATCTCAGGCGGGATCTGTGGGAGATAGGAGTTGAAGGAGACTGGATTTTGCTGGCTCAGGACAGGGTCCGGTGGAGGGCTTTGGTTAGTTCGGTGATGAACCTTCGGGTTCCGTAAGCCATCTGGTTGGTTGGGTCCACTATTTGGGAAGCCTGAGGGGAACAGATCGCTTTGGAGACCTAGACGTAGATGGGAGGATAATCTGAGGCGGGATCTATGGGAGATAGGAGTTGAAGGAGACTGGATTTTGTTGGCCCAGGACAGGGTCCGGTGGAGGGCTTTGGTTAATTCGGTGATGAACCTTCGGGTTCCGTAAGCCATCTAGTTAGTTAGTTAAGCTACGTCACTTAACCCACAGCAAGAGCTATAACAACTTGTGTGGGTTGCTTGTGTTACGGTTAAAGCCCTGGTGTGTTCGTCAGTTCACTGTTCTTAGTGCTCGGACGTGTGTAAAGGTGGAAAGACCGAATTTTGAACACCTCTTGCAAAATCGCGAATTAGATAAAACGTAACAAACATTTTGTGTCAGGAATCTATGTTCTTCTCCATCCAGTTATAATATCTAGGTGAGAAAGCATTTCCGACCCCATGCTCATAAAAAAAATTGTATTGATCTGGTTCCCAGAAAATGCCCTTAAATTTTCCAAACATACTTTTGACTCATCCTGTATATTGGGAAAATCCTGTGTTAGGTTTTCACTTTTTTTCCTTGGCATGTTCCTTGAACATAGTTTTGAAATTTCTACCTGCCTGTCCTATATAATGTTTATGGCAGTCTTGATAAGTTAGTTAATAGATTCCATTTTTCATATATTTGTCTGTTATTTTTGTTTCTTGTTTTAAGTGTCAAGTCTGACGTCCTGAAACTAATATTGATTCCTGTCGCATGTAAGAAAATGTAGCCAATTTTTTAGATCTGTCTGGGGTTAAAGGATTCTTTGATCATATTAACAACGAGGAGATATTACGTAGGGGGGGGGTTGGGGGGGGGGGGGTTTATCCTTTAATGTGAAGGTCAAAACATGTAATGAATTGTTAATAAACAGTTGAACCTGTAATTAAGAGAGAATTGTTATGTAGAAGGACTGTCAACCTAACCTAACACACGTTAGTCATTCGGATGGGAAAAGAAATGATAGAAATTTACCTAAACTTCTACAAAATTACTTCGCGCTACAGCCATCTTCGTTCTCACCGCCGTGAGAGCTTCATATCTTAGATTTGGACAGCCCTCCCGCTTTCGTATGACCTTGGAAAGAATGTTTGAATATGGTCCGCACAATATCAAATACAACAGAAAGAATTTTATTTAGATTATTCAGATTCTAAATAACTTTGTCCATATCATGTTTCTCGCTTCTTCAACAATAACGCTGCATTGCTACTTAAAGGGGAGTCTTTGACATCTCTCCCCTAAACACAAGTGTAGTTTCATAGCACAAACATAACCCAACTCTGTTATGACTATCAGAAAAGAAGAATTTGAAACAAGAGACTAAAGGCAATTACTTTACGCCAAAGAGGATTTCAATCAAGCAGATCCGAAAATGAAAAGGTTCACTGGTGGGAACTTGATTTCAGAAAAAAACTTTCTTAGAATCTTCTACTTTCCTTACATTAATTTCCTTTGTCTTTCGCTCGCATCACTGACGCTGCACACACCAGCTATTCGATGCAATGTAACCGAATAAACTACAAGTTAATTTATTTAGAAGTAGAAACAAACAACTAAATTACATGGACGTCCTGTTTGACAACACCAGTTTACCAGATAACCATGCAAAACAGGTATTACTGAATCAATTTATGGCCTACTGTTCACTGATAACACGACAGTTTCAATATACGGTTAACTGTTCAATGAAACAAACACACATTTGTTATTATATTTAAAAACCTCCTTTCTACTATAATACACTTTGCATTAACAACATAATGAATATTCTTTGTTTCTGTTTTGTTATCAATAAAAGCGTAAAGCTTGGTAAAATATCATGTGACTTACAGGGACTCAGAAGTACTGCGACACCAATGTAGAATCGCCTGACAAAGTCTGAGAAAGGTGAAAGCCATGGTCGAGTTAATTCCTGCCAAAGTCCGGCGTCCTTATATCGGGAAGTACACGGTCCACTCGCTTAACACGGCCACGGTCGTACTGCTGCCACGTAACTTTCAGTATGTGTGCAACTCGAGATAAACATTGTATGTGGACGCTCATCGTGTGTATACACAGAAAATTATAGTTCAGAACCACTGTCCAGAAAATCTTCCACCACACGTGCGGCATTTCACGTCTTTGAAGCACGTCCTACACAAATAACCGTAGGGTAGTTGGATGACTGTAAACTGATAGGGGAAGAAAGGAGGGGAAGGGAAACATGGACGGGTCGGGGTGACTTTCGAATGAACAGCCAGCCCGCCCGTCCAGCCATCTGTCGACAGACGATACAAATTTAAGGATGATTCCTTTACCTGCCCGCTAGCAGCCCGTAACTCGCACTGCTCGTTATTTGTGGATCTTCCGCAGAATGAGAGCGCACGTGTGGTTCTTACCCACTGCGCATGCTCCCGACTGTCACCCTCCGCTTCGACACTTCCTTCCCAACCAACCTTCACACAATCTCGATTTCACAGGACGATGAACCTAACCTAGCCTTCAAAACACGTGGACTTTTGTTGGATGACAATAACGTTTTGGAGAAACAGTCTCCATCTTTAATCCTAAAGACATTAATAGAATGATTTTCGGCGTTGTCTCAACTGCACTTGATGTCTCCTTTGCCTACCACGTGACCGAGAATGGAGTATGATTCCATGAACAGGACGCCGCTACACCACACTGCAGCAGCCATGACCAAACTTCATTCTTCACGGTCACATAAAAATCTTACAACGTGCAACGCGATCAGCGAAACCCAGGCAAGCGAAGACGGCTCAGAACTCGCAGACTAGCAGTATGGGGGGGAGTCATTCTGAGGCTTTCGATTTTCAAACCCCGCCTTGTTCGAATATAATTTCTAACTTCGGAGAACATTCAATATTTGCAACTGCATTTCTTCGTTTCACATTCAGCATTAAAGTCTGTGCGCATTCCTCAGAACCAGGACGCCTTTTGCAACTTAAGGTGAAGAAAGTTCTTTTTATCACTTGTTACGGAAAATCGGGATTCACTAAAAGAAAATTGATTTCACATGTAAACAAACAAATTGTCCCGACTTTGTCGTTTCACGTTCAAGTAATCGAACAATAAAACACGTGTAAAAGGTCGATTCCAATTCTGCTTTTCAGACTTTTGTAGTAAACCGTTCTTCTCTTGTTTTATACCCATGCAAATCAGTAGTTATATACGCCCACAAGCTCAGACAACACTGGGCATATCCCCTTGTTACATGCTTACAGACGGACGATAGTCAGAGATGTTTAAGTGGATGCTTCACAGGGATGGTAACGAGGCAAATAAGTAATATCGATATGAATCGATTCTTCTGGTAACCTACTAGCCAATTAGATACTGTCCCTTTGTTTACACAATTTTTATTGACTTTTCATACGATAAGGATGATCAAAAAGTCACTCACTACTAAAATACGTTCTATTTGTAACAACAAATAATAATAATAAATTACTTTGAAATCATAAAACAAACAATAAAACAACGTGTTTTTGTCACAGAAACGATTAACCATATTGTCGATTTGTATGGCACAGAATAATCGAGATATTTATCTCGAATTTATTCTGACAGGTTAAGAACGAGATGGGTATGTATGGAGGTTTAAAATTCTACCCCCCTCCCACCACCGGGTAAGAAACATGTTACGAAGTGATACATAGTAAAACACGCAGCGAGATTTGAGAACTCTTTCAAACACACTTCTCATATAACTACGGAATGAATAATTTTAGAGCACAATGGACCCTGCGTTTTCTTCAGAAATTACGAGCCAAGCTATAGAAATTTTTAGCAATACCTTTTTTAAATAAGTGTCCGGTTAGAGGCAAAATGTTGTCGAGTCAACCCGCCAACCACAAGCGTGCCACTATGCGTTTAGAATTATTTACACTTAAGTTTCCCACATTTTTCTTCCAGTCTCTTAAATCAGAATGGTAAAAATTAAAATATAATCGCTTTCCACAAAAGACAAAACAACTTGATGAAAGCTCAATGCAACGGGTGGCTCAAGAAAGATTCATTGCGCCATGTTCATATACAAATTACAAAATATTCCAAGTGTCTGGATTTAAGACGTGGGGAAAAGCTGGGTAATATATTATTGTTCGATAAAGTGTACTAACGCCATTACATACACACACCACAATACGTTATTTTATTATTGAACACTTGGGCGGTGGAGGCCCCTTAAAGATACATGTAAGGCATTTTAGATTATTTCAGTTGTTATAATTTTAACTATTTGAAAACTACGTCTCTGGAACTGACTCACCTGATCCATGCAAGTATTTTTTTTAAACTGTACATCCCAACGCTGGTAATTATTGCATTAACGACATATTCACTTAGACGACCCGTCCTTAAAGTGCCTGAGCACTGCGGGTCCCAACTTTTCGTTGGTTTTGATCTATTAGACAGTTGGTAGGACTTCTTGGACGAGTGGTCAGCCCGTCGCAAGGCCTCTACCCACACACAGGACAGCACAACACAGAAAGACTCGGACAAACATCCATGCCTTGAGTGGGATTCGAACCTACGGTCCCAGTGACCAAGCGGCACAAGTCCCACGGGGCCACTGTGACGGCATTGACAACATAGTTAATCGATTGCCTACCAAGGCCAAAAAGTTAGGTTATGCCGTAATCAAAATAAACAGTTTATATACTTTTAACGTATTTACACCACAATTGGTTAAATACTGAGAAGTACGCCATTGTTAATTACGCTGCCAACTGCCAGTTAATCAGAAACGTTAATGAGTGATATGAAGTGAATCTGCTGCCAACAATAGCATTTAATGGAACGCGTCTAAAAAACTGTCATTTGTCCTCCAGAATTACGTTCACAGAATAGAAAAAAATGCACTGAAACAAAGGACTGTTTAGTTTTTCATGACATACTATGTACCCCACTCTCCTAAATTGGAGTCCCTCAACTGAAAAAGGAGACATTTGAGATGAAGCAACAGATCAGAAAGTGACCTACAATAGCATACAATTTAAAATAAATTTAACATACTCTAAAAAAAGTAATGTAACTCTAAATTTACAGTAAATACAAATAAAATGTTTTACTTACCAGTTTTGATGATGAAGGCTGAAATCTTGTTTTGAGAAAACATCTGGTGAAAATGTCTTTAGCAGTGAATTTTTATGAACTACTGATTTTAAATGAATATGTGTGTGACATGTGTAGGAAACATCTCAATAATGCCAGCATTTTGCAATTTTTTATACTGTGTAAGACCAACTTTGGCAAGTACAAAAGTTAACAAAGACATATTGTCTGTTTCCACACAAGAGGACAAACAGGTTATGTATTTATACACGTTTTTTACTTCTCAATAACATTTTAAACACTTCGTGCACAATCTGGCCCCTGATTTCCTAAGCAAACTACAATTCTACATTACTCCTGTGCATCAACTGATACTGTCAGCATTGTTATGTTTATTAATCAGTTCTTTTTATTCTTCTGTATCTTCCAAGTAATCCTCAGCGCCTATTTCTTAACATGCAAAATGCCAAAGAAAAATTAACATTTTAATTTTAAAGATTACGAGTTGTTCCTTGACACTTGTCTCATTTCTGAATCACTACAGCAAAACACCCATTCTTTTCCCATATTATCATTACTTTTGCCATTTTAATTATAGATTTCAATAAACAATCTCATTCCAGATTTGTATAATTACGTGGAAAGAATGGTAGCCTCGAACATTCTAGTCTGCGTGGTGAAATGGTCTACAGCAACAACACAAACATCTGGGTAATGCAGACTATAATTTATAATCACAAAATTTTAAAAACACGTTTATCATTCACTGGGCCCAAGCGAAAAAGACCAAAAGTACCACATTTATATCCACTAATTGTTGAAATATTCAATTGTTTTTAAATAATCTTCTGGTTCAAGTGGCCGACAATAGTCATGTGACAGAACTGTTTGAATCACTGCATTTCTCACAAACCTGAGCTGATGAAATCATTTGTACAAAAAATTGCATTAAATGCCAGCATTATTTTTATTGATATGATGTACCCACAACTTTGGAATGCAAGTATTCGGCACTAAAAACCAAAGTAGCAAAATCAGAGAGTATGGTCACAGCACGTCTCCAAGTTCAGTTAACATGACATGGCATGGTTTTAGTTGATACTGGGAACGACCCGTTCTTCAAGTGCCTGAGCACTGCGGGTCCCAACTTTTTCGTTGGCTCGATCTATGGACATTCAGTAGGACTCCTTGGACGAGGGATCAGCCCGTCGCAAGGCCTCTACCTGTACACAGGACAGCACAACACAGAAAAATGCGGACAGACATCCATGGATTGAATGGGATTCGAACCCACGGTCCCAGCGACCAAGCGGTACAAGGCCCACACCTCAGACCGGTGGCTACTGCCAACCACAGTTTTAGTAGAATGATACTAAAAGGCAAAACTTTCTGAAAACATTTCATTCTGAAGAATGACATTTTACAAGCAATTTCATTTAATCTGACTCATGCAGGGACTCCCTAGTTGTAGCGTATCTATTATCTAGAGTGAGATTTAAAAATTGTAAGTCCATTCAAGAATGGTACTTAATAGGCTATGTGATTTCCAATGTACATAAAAACATGGTTCCATGATATTCATATTCATTTTTTTTAAAACTGAAGGGTAATCAGTATAAACAATATGTATCAGTTTATGACACAATGCAAGCAAGAGATGGGAACGTTTTGGAAAATTATAGCACTGCCATCTTCACGCATCACTTGATGTTTAAATTATATCTTCAGCATTCTGATAAATAAGGACATTATTTCAGAAGTATCCAGGTTGCTGCTAGAAGCAATTAAGCAAGCCAATTGTGACGATGTTTGTCTTGTGCAGTGTAGCTACTGTATTCCAAGTTTTGAAAATACAGTCAAACTCGTTTATAACGAGATATCGCCTACTGCAAGCAGAGAAGAGTTGGTTAGCAATTATGTATTTTATGAACAACATTTCACGGTTAAAGCTATCATGGTAATTCAGAGCTTCACTTATACAACAAGCAGATGTTTAAGCAGTGGCTGAACTACCGTATGAGGGACGAAGATCTGTTATTACTTTGCCCATTTATAAAATTTTCCCCCTTATCTCTTTCCACATCCCTGCCGATATCAAATTCTAACCCTTTTAATGACATTTGCAGTCAACATTTATAGTGTGGCTCGACCGTGCGTGGCGGAGTGCCGAGGGCCTACGGGGGCTCTCAGGTAATGGCAAATGTATAGCGATCTAAATGGTTAACCACGGCGGAGGAAGGCAGAATGATTCCGCTACACCGCTGCCTAGCGTAATCATAATCTGTATTTATTCATTGGTGTTTTTATCCCTTTTCCTTATGTGTGTGTATGTGTAATATTAGTAGTTAGTAACAGAAAAAGTAACATATAGCTACAATAACGGCTATAACGAGTAACGGTTATAACGAGCAATTTTCCTCGGTCCCTTGGATCTCGCTATAACCGAGTTTGACTGCATATACATGACCAAATCAAGACTTCAAAATGAATTTCAAGTCATTATGTTTTGACATTAAAAAGATGATACATCGTATTTTATCAGTTTTTAACTTCCGTAGCATTATCAGAATTTGTAGGTCGGTGAGAAATTGAAAGGAATTTTTAAGGGGAAGGGTAAGTAAAGAGAGCACATGCACCAGCCTTGTTTTTACTCAAAATTGCTACACATAATTATAATAATACTCTTCTATGTGACTACGGTACTTACACTGTTAGTCTAGGTCTACTCCACCAACAAAATGGGACGAGTTTGTATTTCTTTTTTCCTCTGGAGATTTGACATAGGATATAAGTAATAAAAGAATGTAGTCCATGTTTCAGAAAAGTAGATACGATAGCACTGGAAAAGTCTTTGTTTTGCAAATTGATTTGTTTGGATGTCATGAACATACAGAATTACAAAAATGACAATAAAATGTATATACATCTGCTTCATCAGTAATCCCTACCAATGTTCTGAGAAGCTATTTGCAATTCTGGAATTTTTGGGCACATTTCCCAGTAAACTCTTAACTGGCCGTTGCTAGAAAACTGGGACTCGAAGGGGATATAATTGTTAAGATGAATTACAAAAATTAATGACTGCCAAAATTCTGATGTTCGTTGATTTTAGAGTTGGGCGTTTACTGTTTGCAGAGGTCATTCGACATTTGCAGAGAAAGTCAACATCATTAACACAAAGACGAAAGAAATTAATAAATGAAAGATCTCAGAAATGAACAATTAAAGGAAGAAGATGAAATACTAGACGGTACCCCAATAGCTCAGACGAGTTTCTGTTTCATAAATACCCATTTTAGGCTAGTGGAAAGATAAGACTGGAAATAAATAAGGCTTGCCTGGAGGACACAGTGGTTGCTGGAGTAGTGCTTGAGTTATCAAGGTCATATACCACATGAAAATAAGACTTGAGTAAGGTTGCTGATTGTGTATCAGATGTTCCTGCTTATGTCGCTGAGTTTCGATACGGCAAGACCAGTTTTGTAGTTCTATCAGACTATTATTACTATCTCATCCAGGCTGTAAACATCCCTCCTATCAAAACACTGGGCTGGCTAACTTGTACACACTTCTACAGAAAAACTAAATATATTTACAATGTGTGACTTCGGACCGAACATGGGCCTCTGACACAATTTACATCCAAGGGTATGTACACTCTCAAGTTACTTCATACTTGTGTCAAACAGCAAGTAACATGGCGGCTGTCACAATGTAAAGACGGGAAGGTTTCCAATGCCAACATTCTGAAAAAAACTATAAATTAAGAGACTCCTTTCATATCAGGAAAAGACCGAGAAACTGTCCCATGTAGGAAGCATTCCCATCTTTACTTCACAAACAGCATGGCAGGGTGACCTCCCCACAGACTTTACCGGTTCTAAACGCCAGCAGATGCCACAATTAATCTGCTCAGAGATTCAGTTTGTTTCTACCCGAACACAGGACTGTGTTCCACATGTTCACAAATCGATTCCACCCAAATTTGATTAACTTAATTACAGAACTCGGCATTATTTGCAGCCAACAAACAAACCCAACTGCACCGCAGTGTTTGAAATCAAGATGCTGTTTCCTAAAGATGGAAGAAAATTAAGGGCCTCTGTACTGGACAAGAACCAGAAACATCAATCAAAATGGACATGGCAGCACGAGACCTGATACTATGCCCCTCCCAAGAGATTCTAGGGTCATATCCCTGCCTTCATTTGAATATCCTAAACTAAGGTAATGAATGCCCTGGGTAGCCAAAGAGATGAATGATAGAGATGGGGCAATATTACACCAAAAGGTACACATACAAGTGGCACAAAATGTACACAACAGTTTCAGAACATGGTCGTTTAAATAATCCTAAAATTTAAAGAGATGGCATGTTCCTTAACTGATAGAAATACCAATTTTAAACAGGACATTTTGTTTGCATATAAATTATATAAAAAATGATGTATATCTGATGAACCCTGGCATAAGAGTTCTTACTTTGAGAGATACATCAGTTTTATACGGTTAAAAGCGGATAAGACGGGGCACGAGTGGAGCTACCACTACAGGACACAACTTTGTATGTAATTCCTTCACATGGGCAAGTAAGCTCCTTGGTTTGTTTGATAAGTTGATTCATATCAAAGTCCTTTGCTCGTCTCTTCGTGATACATACTGCTTCAGTCGTGCTTCTAAATCAAATCAAATTGCACTGTCACTGAATCACTTTTATCTGCTCTGTCATTGACACTTGAAGAATACCTTAAGGAATCAGATTGCTAGTCTCTCCTTCTCGCGGAAAATAGGAACATGTTCAGCAACAACCGGACCTTTTCAAGAAACACCAAACCAATATTTCAAAACTAAAACATAACCTCTCAAATGTCCTAAGAGGGAGCAAGAAATTCCATTTTCCTACATTACCACTGCCTCCAGACTTATCCATCCTTTAGCAGTAAGTGTGTAGACTGCAATCTGATTTTACAACAATCTGATTCTGCGTCTGTTTCCAGGTCCCGGGACTGGAGGGGGGAAGGGCCGCCTGCGAGTGGACAGGAGCCCGGGAGGGGAGGGGGATGGGCCAGGGACGGGGTGTTATTGCATGAAATAATCCGGATGGTCGGAGTCTTTTTCAAACCTCTTCGCTTCTTCCTGCATGCTTTCCTTAATTTTCAGAATGGCGGCTGATTCAGTTTGGTCCTGCAAGGAAGAAAGGGTTCACTGCACAGTCCAAACTTCATGACATCTACAGAATCTTGCTCTCACTCCCCCTTCATCCTCTCCTCTTTGTAAATGAAAGGCTCTATCAATTTTGATACCCGAAAGAAAATTTATTTGAAAATAATTTCAAGAAATTTGGTTCATGCAACACACCCTTCCGTCATCACGGCATCGTGTGAGTTTGGCGGGCGGACATGTTAATCATGAGACGAAGGCAGTAGGGAGGGGCAAGCGCATTAACACGAGGCATTCTGAGCATTCAAATCAACTTTAATACCTTTCCAAACACTTTACAAGATTTCCTCACAACTACATTTTCAAAAGGTGCACCCAGACTCGCCATGGTTGCAAGCTCTGCTCCCCGCCCTTATGCTGAGATCAGAACACAACCCTGACGAATGGACCACACCAGAGTAAAGCATCCTCCCTACTCCCTGCTTACACAAATACTGTAAAGAACCCTCAGTTCTAGCAATGCAGCACCCAACCAACTAAAATTCTAGTTTTGAGAAATCAATTAAATATGCCAACACAATAATGCTGCAGTTGACTTGTAAACACTCTGCCTACATACACATGCAAATTCATTTTCCTAATTCTACATTCCAAATGACTCAACTTTCACACTTGTGCATTGCTTATAATTTTCATAGTCTGTCATGGCAGAAAAATGATGTAAATGCTGGCACCTAACACCAAGGCTCACCACCAACATCTAAACTAAAATTCAATAATCTTTTTACAGTTGGTGCATACATTTTAAGTACCCAGCCCACATCCTTAGAAATGTGCTACATTTCATTTACAAAATAAACATAATAAAAGATAAATTCCATGTGGTTGTGGCCGGCTGAGGATGGACGGATCCCTCGAGAGAAGGCTCATTTAAGCCTAGACCGTGCACAAATGTCGGATCGGGTAAGATCAGGGTCGAACTATGTCTCCGAGAAATAGCTGCCAGCACTCATACTCACATTTTCCCCAGGTCCCCCAAAGCCCCCTAAGTTGTAGTCTCCCATCCCACTCCCGCTGTCTTCCCGTGGAGTACCAGGCCCACCGTTGGCTGGAGAGTTCTTCATCCCATCAAGACCATCTCCATTCATCACTGGGCCCATGGTGCTGGGCCCCATAGGTCCCATGGGTCCACCCTCTGGCCCACCACCCATTGGAAAATCCTGTGCCCATGACAAATACCAGTTACTAACGAGAATACCTGCTAACGTATATTTATAAGCAATATGTCGTATTAGAACAGCACTTACCCCTGGCATGTTTCCTCCAGGCACAGATTTCATCATTGTGTACATATTTTCACCGCCAGAATTTGAGGAGTCTGCAACAAAAATCGAACATTCAGTGTCGGCACGACCTCTCAGCGTGCATGTACACTAGTGTCCGTATATCTCAGCACGACTATCGACTATGCCTTTTTATATATGAATCCCTAATTGCAGAATGGTATAACTCCAATTTCCCCCCCCCCCCAAATTTAACTTTTTTTGCTGTTTTCGTATCTTGAAGCCTAATACACCACCTGGTGCATGAATGGTATATCTGCACTGATAGGAACCAGTCAAACAACGCTCTGAAACTTATTGTTAATTGCAGAAACAATGAAATTGTCTTGGCCCTTCTGTGAGGAAACCAAAGATGATGATGATGATTACTACTGAAATTATTATTACTCACAAAATAAATTCAATTTAATTAAAGAAAAATCAATACAAAAACGTCATTTCTTCTACAATTTGTATTTCTATGTTTTGAAGTATTCTATGTTTGTATTTCTATTTTAAAAAAATAAATTTCCATTATGTATCAGTGAGTGTTCCTTTGTTTTTCACCAATTTACCCTTTAAAACACCGTTAATTGCAGAAAGGGCATAACTCCAACAAATATTGGCCCATGTGGAGCTTAAACTATGTAATCAAAAAATCTGGAATTTGGCACAAAGATGTAAATTGATTGCAACTAACTCTATTCCAAAGTTCAAGTCTCTATCTTCAGTTGTACTGATCATAGACAGTTTTTTATGTTTCCTGAAAAGTTTTGAATTTTGGAGTTATACCCTTTCTGAATTTAGGGATTCATATATATTTCACAGCTTGAAACTTCCAACTTTAAGCAGGTGTCAACTGTTTGTGCAGAAATAAAAATTCCACTACTGCATTAGTGTCTACAGTATTTTTATGTAAAGTACACATACGTAATAAAATATTTATGGTCGTTCATCTATTCTATAAGTTACCAGGGTTTTTTTAAATAACTTCTTCCACATTTTTTTCAAATTTTAGTAAGGTTATTGACATTGAGTACACACAACACTACTAGCTTCTCAGTCCTGATCCACTGTCAATTCACAGTGAGTACAAAGTCTATGATTTCTTCTGTTTTACATATAACAGTAATGATTGTGGGACGAAGCAAATTTAATAACATAGGCCAACAAAATTTGTGTTTATGTAAAAATGAATAACCAACCCTTGCTTATTATGCAGGCATCAATCACATATTACTATGCTACAGCAAAAACAAGCTGTTAGACTTATCTCTGAGCTTTATGAATTTTTAATTTATGAGAAAGAAATGTCAGTATCAAGATATCGGAAGCTAGACCTCATGTGGCAGTAATGAACTGTTATAATAAATAACATACACACCAGATCTATGCACGAAAGTTGGGATACATCCTATGAAACAAGTGTTGGAATATGCATGTTTTTAGGTTTATATAAATCTGTATTCAGCTTACAGAACGCTCACACAGAAAATGTGTAGAGGTTATTCTATTTGAATCTGATATTCATATGAGACATTTTCAAATTAGGCAGATACTCCAGGAAATAAAAAATTCTCAGTCATTCAAATAAAATGACTTTCAATTACACGCAGTATGAACAGCTTCTAATCGGGGATGACCACAAAATTTCATAAAAATTTGAAATATTATGTGGCAATCAAACACAGAATGTTTAAAAATCAATCTGACCATGATGAAGAAACTATGTTGTAACAAAACAGTTCATTCAAAATATTAAAAACATAACCTCTTATTTTTTCTTGCCACTCTCAACGCTACCAACACCTTTGCTACACAAAGACAAACCCTGAAGAAGGTAACTTTCTTCTACTCAGCAACTCCCCCCCACCATGCCTGCTTGAAGACTCCCTATTGGCTGAGAACTTATTCTGTTCTTATTTCTCATCCCCGATTGGCCCACGTTGTAGACGAAACCTCTACTTCAAGTAGTACACATAGTTACGACCAAGTAAGTATTTAAACTTTAAACTGAAAGCAATAACATAAAATGTAAGCCTACAATCACAATCCTATTCAACACTGGAGATGTATGTTTCATGCACCGCAGTTAGGTTTGTGGTCAGCACGTAAATTATCTTATCTGTTGTCTGATCAGATCATCTGGCTGGTGTAGCCATGATCATAAAATTCCTCTTGCCACTCCTTATTTCATTCTTACTTTCACTAGAATAATTTTGTATACCCCCAGTAGCAGATAAGTACTATTAAATAAAACGCTGGTCACTCAAAGTAGTTTGAAACAATTGCAGTCAAATTTTCGTTACTCTGTAACTAAAATTTTCTTTTATATGAAAAAAATATTTTTAACAAACTAACCAACTGACGATCATATCCACCAACAATCCAACCAACCTTCAAACTCCTTGGTACAGACTGTTGCTTAAAAAGTTAAAAGCCAATCAGCAGGCCAATTCCAAACTTTTAACATTCCTGGCGGTTCATTGCGTCGGAATTTATCCTGAGCTAGTTTGATTCAGTTTCCATGTTTGTACGTCATTTCTCAAAGATCGTTTTTGTTATTATCCTACTATCTACACCCATCTGACAAATAGTATCTTAATTTTACAAATCAAAATTTTATATGCATATGTTTCTTCATCATATGAGCTACAATTTACTAGATAAAATCAATATTTTTCATGCCCAATTTTATAGTAAAACTTTGTTCTTTCCCTTCAAACTGATCCTTACTGATTCATAATGAATTAAATTCTTTATGTCAGGGTACACTGTATAACACTTACAGGATTCAAGGTGTTGACAGTACTTTTCAAATGTGTTTTATAGTTCTCTTACATTCACACAATACTCATTAATGGGAACCTACTATTCTGCGCTAAATATAGTTAATCACTCAATCTTTTCATACATGGAACCACAGCTCTTTTGCCAGTGAGGTGAGCGATTTTCAAGATACTCTGAAAGAAGTTACAGAAACCATTCATACTTTGGATATCAGCACACAATGACTGAAAATTGGATTTCCCAAACCCCCTCCACAGCAAAAGACAGTTTGGATCATGAAGATGGCTGTCTTCTGGGTTATTGCGCTGTATAGTCTGGTAGATGTATACCGACGTTTCACAGGACCTTGCTGCCTCCATCATTGGATCACCCTGATGGCCGAGGCAACAAGGATCTCTGAGACGTCGGTAAACTTCTACCAGACTATACAGCGCAACAACTGAAAAGACAGCCATGTTCAGATTCACTGCCATGAAAACCTCAAATCCTATAAAGTTTGGATTAAAATCATCAAATAGTTGCATGTAACTATTTTAAAATTGTATTTTGGTTAGATTGCTGTGCCAAACTTTTAATCCTAGGATTTTGTAGGTGATAGCAACATCTCGAGCTATAAAAAAACATCCCAGAAAACTAAAAAGGCATGAACTGCCATTGTTACTTCAAAATCATGGAACACATGCACTCCAGCACTGCACTTCTTCCAGAGTTTGTTAACTAATTCTCTAAAGGCCTTATAAAGTATGCATTCTACGGAACCATCCACTTTCTTTCTTATGAATAAAAGCCTCTTTCTACCATAAAGTACATTACTCAATTTCACTAAAAGTAACACACACAGTTCTCTGTTTTAAAGGTTGCAATTTTCAAATGATTGAAAATATTAACGCTAACTGCAGGCATAAAACATCATCAAATTCAGTACCAGGGTCCACTGACAGACTTGCTGTCTTTTCCTAATCTTCTTGCCCTACTAAATAGTGGAACATGCAAATGTACTTCCGTTTTGACTAATAAAATAAATGTCAACATGTCAGAAGTATCAAATTTACAAAACATTCTTAAATCCTAATTCATTTCCTTATTATAAATATCTGTAATTAATTTATTAAAAAAATAAGTAAAATGAAACCTTCAGTTGAATGATCAGAAATAGATTTCTTGGATTTGTAACAAATTTAATGAAATTTAGATTTTTAATATGTCTAACAAATTAATCATTCTAACCACTGCTAATTTATTTCTCTCAGCTTCCAATCATGTTTAACTACTCCACAACCAAAACTGTTCTCCACAATAAACACAATATTAAATCTCACATCGAGATATATATTATGATTAAATACAAAAAATGTTCCCAGATAAGACAACATAACTTCGGGATATGATAGGAATCACGACAACCAAACCCATGTACTAGTTCACACAGAATTTCAAGAAGATTTAAATTTCTACAGGTAACCATATTCAGAACAATTCATTCAAACCAGAGATATTCATTCATATCAATTAACACCAGGCCACGATTTGTTACCCCCTGATTGGGAAAAATGAATATGGTTTTGTCACTGATTTCTTAACTCTATTGCAGATAAGCCTCAGTTTTTTAGAAAATATTTTGTGGACAGATGAGGCATTATTCACTTGCACCAGCATAATCAATTTCCATAACACACGTCACTGGACAGCCATTAATTCCTATACTATTCAAATACCACACTACCAGCACAAGTTAACAGTAAGTGTTTGGCATAATTAATGACCTTGTTAGACCACATTTTCTAACAAATTAGTTAAATCTGGGGTCCTTTCCAAGTTATTTAGAGAATGATTTGGTAGGAGTCTTGAAAGATGTTCTGTTAAGCATAAAACACAACCATTGGTTACAAATGGGCAGGTAACCAGCACATTATAGAAGAAATGTTTAGTAATGGTTAAATGTTCATTATCTTGCAAGGTGAAATGGATGAATAGCCCTTAATCAAACATCGTAACATTATTGTTGGGGGGAAGTTAAAAGATGAAGAGTTTGCAAGGCCAGTCTGAAGAAGGCAAGAACCGATCAACAGGATTGAAGATGCACACAATCAAATGAGGCAAAACGGGAAAGAATTACGAGTTATTGCTTCCATATTAATCGGATATGAGAGATGAATACAAGCAGGTGGATGAAATTTTGAACATCTTTAACAAATGCAATTAACTGCATTTTCTTTTACAACACTGCCGTGGTTTTCTTTTAATTTTGTAATTTGCAAGTAGTTTTCAGTTTTAGAATTTGATAAAAGTTCGCAGTTTTTACTAACAAATAACAAAATAAAGTCAGGGTTTACCCTTCCTTTGCTAACTATAACTTTTTATGAAGTGTTTTCAGATGTAAATTTCTTATTCCACATTAAATTTTCTCTTGGATTTCCAAGTTACGTGCTCTCATCTAAGAACTCCCTGTATTATATGAACTCAACCAATGAAATAAAATTAACTTTAATGCAACATATTCCATAAGAACAATGTAAGAGATTCACTCAAGACTAATTCATTTTCGGTAACTAAGACTCACAAGGTTAAATCAATCGGTGGTTATAAAAAATGAGGAAACCTTTAGTTTCTGCATACAAATTGAAGGCAGTACCAATATAAATATCTATCATGAAGCACGGAGCTGAAAAGCAAAGATAATTTTCTCTGCAGAGAATCCTCTAAGAGGTTACAAAAGGGTGAAGTAATGAAACAGGGTATGAAAGACACAAGAAGCAAGTTCACATTGAATATTTAAAGATATAACAAAGCTGTTTAGAAATGGGTCACAGAAAATCACGTAGTAATAATTCCCATCAGTAGGCCTCTGATATGTAGACAAGATATAGTTCTTAATCACCCCAATTTTAAATTACAGACTGCCCCAATTTCTGTGAAGTTATAAGACAGTGAAGAAGACTTTATTACAAACATGATTTTCTAGCACTGAAAACACAAATCTTTCTTTACCAGCTAACACTCAGCAACACACAAGCACTGACATGACAGCACAAGTGAATGCGTCATGTTTCATTTAAAATGAAATATCTTTTTGAACTGTAGGTGCACTATTTTTGTACGTAATTTGCAGTATTAAGCATCTTATAACACTGCCACAGAAGCAAGCGGAAAATGTATCATACAAATATAAAAATAATATCCCATGAAAATAAACAAAGCAAAGGGAAGACAAGAGACAAATATGTCACAGTTACTGGTGCAACAAATGGAAGCCCGAACCACATATAGAGTGAGAAGCAAAACCAGCTAAATTTTCTGTTATAAACCTGTATTGCATAGAAAATATATTAATTGTCACAGCTGTAGATTGCCTTAATTTAAGAGTGACTGAAATCGGTAATAGATATATATTTTTCGTGCAATATTTACTTTGACAATTTATTTTGAACATTTTTTTTAAACCAATACTCATAAAAGGTTTGCTTTAACTTGGTGAATTCAAATCTGGCATTCACTTTAATAATAACTGCTGCAGTTTATTTTCAGAAACATTTTCTGACATGTTTTTCTCCATAGTTACATCCATGAAACTAGAATTTCTGTCATATATTAATTCAAAAGTTCAAAATTTTATTATTTACATTATAAAAAATGCAGATTTATATCTGACAGTGTCTTATGACCTAGCATGCTGTCATTGAATTATAGTTCTTTTAACAATCGTAATTGACCACATTCATAAATGATCTATGAAATCTACAAAAATTCAGAAGCTTAATTTACTTTTAATGTAGGACTTTTTAACAAATGTTATGGTGGGTATAATATCTCTCAAATGCCTACTACTCAAAAGTTTTATCTATGTACCATACAACACCGGAAGTTTCAGTGTTGCATTCGGTACTCATTTATGACCATCTTGGCAAGGCTTCAAAGATATAATTTACAGCAAACAATTTATCTGTTTTTACTGCATTACACAATGGGGAGAAAATACTGAAAAACACAGTACATACTGCAAATACAAGACCTTTCTTATTGGCCAAAATACCATTTCTTTAAGTTGTGCTTTGCCTTAATGTTCATTTCTTTACACTAACAAAAATAATTATTAATAACCTAACCTAACATTTTGTGTTATTATACTATGTTTCAAATCAATAACAGGACCAAAGACAGATCGACAGAATGGAAATCATGGAAATGGGCAGGTTGTGAGTTGTATCCTACATAATCAGTATTCACCTTGTCTTGTCACAGGACTGGGAGTGGGCATTCGGTGGCTAGCAGGGGAATAGGGACCCACAGAACCTAGAAACAAAGTATACAATCAGTGCTTCTTCTTTTATCGTACAAACTGTACACATGAATGTAGCCTTAAATAAAAGAGCTGTTCTATCTAAAGAATCAAAATAACAATTCATGCAAAGAAAGAAAAGCAGAATAAAACAGTAACAGGCATGTCAAAGAGTCATTGCTGATCAGCTGCCATTTGATGAAATTTCATATACACTAATTATTTTACAACTATTAACAAATTTTCTCATAGTTTAAAATGCATGTTATATTAAGAATATTACAATAATGTACAAGCAGCCGTATGTTCAAAATCTGGAAAAAACTTCACACGTTAGGAAAAGAGGAATTATTTATGCAATCCTATACAGGCAACTCTCGGTTTACGAACGAGTTCCGTTCCAAGACGTTGTTCATTACAAGGTTTCGTTCATTATGTGTATCTTGCATTCCTGAGCTTTTACGATACGTATCGTATACGTTAGCAGCCATTTTAAAGCATTAAAACCATGTACTAATTATCATATAATAATTTTCTGATAATTATTGTAAAAAATACATTTTTTAAAAGTTTATTTACTTAAATCATACGATTATATTCACTATACGTCTGTCATTTCGTTTTATAAGGAAATCTATCTATTGGCGACTTTAAGAAATTTTGAATGAATTGTGACGTTCGTTGTAGCAAATGTTCGTAAACCGAGAGTTGCCTGTACCTCTTTTAAAATTGTTCTTGGCAGCTGTCACTCATGACCTTTTTAATATTTTCAACAGATGACATATTTAAAAGCAACCACTCACTGACAATACAAAAGCCATAACACCCCTGCTTATTGTTAAAAAAGTTATATTAAACAAATAATGTGCAACCAATAAATGTGACAGAAAGCATGCTAGTACCAAAGAGAAACTTAAATAAAAGACATTAAAAGAGTTATTATTACACTACAGTATTTAACTTTGAGTTCCCAATAATTCTGCAAAAATCCATTATGTCAACACGTTCAAGAATGATGTCAACACATATCAAAACAATCCAGACCTTAAAACTCTCCACAAAGATAATTATAATTAAAATTTCTTCATTATGAATGCATGCAATTTTCAATGTACAGAATTAGATAAATTACAACTGCACCACTCCTTTCAAAATATAAATGACAAAAATGTTTCTACAGCCAATTATTAACCTTTATCATCCATGCATCACACTGTACATTTCAGCTAAATGTTCATTTGAACTGATTTATAGAAACTATGACTTTGTAATTTTTTTCACGGCTCCGTACAGCATTTTGCTATGCTTTCCAACTGTGATCTAATTATCACTATCAACCCTATAAAGGTTGTAATTACAAATAAATTGTAAACTTTCAACAATGTGGTCATGACATCGTTAACCATTAAAGTTCTAGACAGCGGAATCCGAATGTAAGCCAGAATGAATACTAAAATATGTAAAAATAAACAAAACTTCATTCGTATCTGTAGTTTGAGAGCAGTGAGGAGTACGGAGATAAGGCTGATGGGAAACCCACACAGCCTATTATTAATGTGGCCCCTTAAACGGCTTGACACCTTCTAAGCAACTCACAACTAGGACCCTTCCTAGGGCAAACACCCCAGGCCCTTAAACTAGATAACATGGTATTCCTTTAATTTTGTGGTTCATTATTTGGTAGTACTGTGGCATAAACAATAGTCACTAAAAGCAGGTGACTGAGTAAGACCAATCAGTATTTCCAGAAGATAATTGTAAGTTGCCACAAAGGACCATGTAACTTCAAATAATCAATAAATGTTATTAATTATTCTGCATGTACAACACAGTTTAAGTCACTTATAAATTCATCAACAGGATTTCAGTACTTAATACAATTTTCAAAGTTTCCACCAGAACAAATGCAAGATCAACTATGTTTCCGATATTTGGAGTTGTATTGTGCCCACGTCAATGACATATTTATGTAGCATTTGTTACACAGTGTATATATGCATCTAGTAAAGTTTAATTCTGACTGTAGTAGATGTCAAGGTTTACTCAGTATGCACCGCCAACATGATTAAATTTACTTCAGTTTGCTTTTGAATAGAATTACGATAGTTCACTTCAAACAAATATTTTCAAGAGTTCTGCCCTTTGGCATGTAGTGTTCTAGGCACAAATAGCGAGTACAATTTTCCAATATTAGTTGCTCTGGGTTATCTATAATTATATAAAATTTGGCTAAACTTTTCATGTTTGGGATTTAGCTTTATGCTGCTTAAATAGGTGGTAATTATGCAAGTTTTCTGTATTAAAATTTCACTGCAATACTACCTTCTATTCAACAATTTATTTTAATTTTTTCATTCCCAATTCAATATACAGGAGGCAATAATAACTCTTTTTTTTTAATTTCTTGGGTGTGCACAATTGAAGCATTTCATGAGATTATAAACGACAAATTTTAAAATGCCAATGTCTGAGATCCAATTTATTATATTCCTTCTGAGTGCAAGATCCAAGGATGATTTCAAAGAGGAGACCTCAAGATGAAAAGACAGCATAAGAATTGATTTTATGCTCTAATTCTGGTGCCCACATATTTGAAGGTGGCATTTCTCTTCCTCAAAGTAACAATGAAGAGGCAACAGAACAGAACACATGCTACGCGCATTGAACCGTAAGTACACAACTGTGACCTCCTGCGTCTATGAAACACGTGTTTACAGGGAGTCACAGTGGGGTGAGAGAAACTTATCCACCAAACACAAACGAAGACTCTTCAACAACGATCATTTTCATGCAATTTTTCTTGAAATTATGCAACTGCTTGTGGAAGAGATAAAAACATATATTACCACTAGTACTCGGACACATCAAAGATTACTGCTCCTCAGTAGAACAGCTCTTTATGGCCTTTTACAGAAACACAACGAATTCAAGACGGATTACTGTGTATAATGATATTTACACATTTTAGAGACAACAAAAATCATCCTAACAAAACAGATGTAAATTATGAGAGATCATAAAAATGAGAACTATTTTTGATAAGCTCGATAATGTATATGCTAAATACTACAAACCAACTAAACATTTAGCTGTCAGTGAAGCCATCTGTGTTTTGACGAAGGTAGGGTCATCTTTAAACAGTGTGTACCAAAGAAACACAAAACCTAAAAGTTGTGTGGATCAAAAGGATATGCGCACAAAGACAAGAAACATTCAACTGCCAGTGTCCACAACACATGCAACTATGATGAGATTTACAACAAGGACTGAGGGTTTGGTACATAAACTGTTTTTTCTATCCTCCTAGCTAAGATGATTATTTACATATGAAGACCATTAATTGCTGCGGTCCTGCCAGATCAAATCAAAAGGGAATGAATAGTATTTGGGGGGGACCTCAGACTGAAACAGGGTGACATAAAAAATATGGTGAAGGGTGACCACAATAGCATGGGAACATAAAACGTAAACTTTTTGACAAATACACGCCAACATCCTACAGAAGGTAATTTCTGTGGTTAGTATGCGAAAAAAATTATTCAGTTAGCAAATGCACATGGAAACAGACAAGAAGGAAATTGTTTCTGTACCTTCCAGAACTTTCAATTCTGAACAGTATTATTCTCCTCACTTCTGGTGGTTCAAAATTGTCTCATTGAAATGTCAGATTTGCCTTGGTTAAGAACTAATACAAAATACGAGTACCTCGACCACAGACCACCCCATGGGATATATCAACCACTTCCACCACTCAAATTACCTGACCGTGCACTTGTTCCATTAAAAACAAAAGAAGTCAGGACAAATTCAGTTGTTTGAATAACAAAGTAAGGTTATGTGTTTCACCCTGCTTCAGGGTGTACCACACGAAACTGCATTTCTGAGGACTGTTCACCAACAGTACATGCAACACAAATGTCATTATTTTCCTAATAATTTTTAACTGATGGAAAATATTGAGTGTGTATTATGAAGGGATGCTGAGAAACGCTGAGACCTATCTGAAGTGTTTTTAGATATATCTGTCCGATCTTTGACATTTTGTGGTATAAGAAACAGAGAATGCTACTTGGAGAGAACTATACATATTTCAATAGTCATGTCATGTTGTAACAGGACATGTACATCCCTTTCAGTCTTTAAAGGTTAAATAAAAGCACCTTCAAAAAAGCATGAAGTGGACTCTGAATGTAGAACATTTCAAGAGAAGACAGACAAATATTTTTGTGGTTCCATGAATGGAAAAGATTTATCTTCAATTTGTAATGAAGCAGAAGTATTACTGTTTTGAAATAACATAACCTCACTAGGCACCACAATTCAAAGCACCGAGGATAGTACAAAAACTGTGTCAGTACTCTAAGATGAGCAAAAGTGGTGGCTTTAAAATAGGGCTTCAGTCAAAACAGAATGCCTTCAGAAAACAATACACTGATAGTTCTTCTCATACACTGTGGGCAACTTACTTGCTGATTAAAGAAGTCAAAATCTCTTTCCAATAGCGAATGCATACAAAAAATGTTTGTGACACACAGCACATGAGATCTGTCCAGAAAGGGAATCTGTCTTAATACCATGAATTTCCCTTGTGTAACAATGACATGAGCAAATGCTTAATGGTACCTGCACTTTGTCATGGTGGTGGGGCTAGAGTACCTCGGTGATCCCAAGAGCTATGCTGGCGGTAGCATAGCTACTGGTAGGGCCTCCCTAGCCAGATTGGTCGAGGGGGAGAGGTCAGACTAAGACAGGTATCCTGGTCCTCCAGGTTGGGGGTTGGTCGTAAGGCTAACAACCTTGCACCGTAAAAAGGAAGATGTTTCGAAACCTCAATCAAAGCCTCGGACAGACGGACTGAATGGAAGAGGAGAATTGAGGAGGCCGTGGACCGAATACGGACCGGAGAGCCATAGAAGAAGAAGAAGAAGAAGAACAATGACATGATGAGTTGATGATAATAGTAGTGACTTACTTAATCAAATTAGAAACAATGCAAAAGAATTAGTCTTTATTTAGCACTGGATGAGTAGTAGTGACTTACTTAATCAAATTAGATACAATGCAAAAGAATTAGTCTGTATTTTGCACTGGATGAAAGTAATGACACAAGTAATACTGCTCAGTTATTGTTATTTAAGACATAAAAATCTTTTGAGATGATTCGACGACTAGCTAGAGTGATAAGGCTGCATGGCACAAGAGGCGAAGATTTGTTTTTGTGTGTGAAGGAACTTTTGCTGACCAAAAAGAAAAATAGAAGATGTGGCAACAGTTAGGACTTCAAGTATGAATAGAAAGAAAATAGGTTTGATTGGTAAAATTATGTGAGAAATAACAAACAAAATCCCAAATTGCACATTGAACTTCACTACACCATCAGCCACTTTGTGGTGTCAGCTGTGAACTTCATTCCATCTCACAGACTCTGTGACTGCCAGTTTCAATATTTGTTTTTGGAAATTGATGCTAAAAGTAGAAATATCTTGTACCACACGACAATCCAATGGCTCATTTGCAGAGAACGTTGAAGTACTATTTAACTTTGAGGTTAGAAACAGAAACGATCATGAATGGGAAATACAAAGTTGTGACTGAACCTACCGATGACAAGTGGCTTTGGAATTTGGCATTGCAATGTAATATCAGACACCACACAAATAACTTAAGTACCAAACTTCAAGGTCAACATAAACCTAATTTTGATATGTCTGAGATTGTGACAGCTCTTGAAATTAACCTGACACTATTACAGAAACAGACAGAAAATGTTAACCAAGAGTCATTTTTCTTCCTGTGATGGATGGATCAATGCTGCAAAAATGATTGATTCCTGAGAATTTTAAATGAAAGTCAAGGACTTTTGAAGCTATGTTACAAATATACATATCTTTAAACCCCCTTTCTCTGTTGAGGTCAGTGATACTCCAGGAAAATTGCAACTTGAATTGACTTGACTATAATATGGCTGCATAAGAATTCTGCATCGTAGTTTTAACCAGCAAGCTTTAATTACCTTTTACGCTTCTTTATCAGTATTTGAGTTGTCTGAGTTAGAATAAAATTTGACTAATGCATTTAGTAGAAAATGTACATGTAAACCGAAATTTAGTAACAGCCATTCACAATCGGCTTTACCCATTATAAATTTTAAATTGTGGTATACTCCTATACACAACCAAGAGAAATGAATCAAGGATTGTAACATATATTTCAAAACAATGTTAACATCCATTCAAGATAATTAGAAGCATCCAGTGTCCTCAAACAGAGTACTGACATGCAAATATGAATGAAGACCTAAAGATAGGTTCGTACATGACACTCCAGTATCTTATGAACTACCTGAAGGTTGCTTTGAGTGTGTTCTGTTTCTTATCAACATTCCAGTGCAAAGTATTCCATAATTAACTCTACTGAGTTATCTCCATCAACACGGATTTGTGTTTGTAGTCTGTGGTTTGCCAAATCCAGTACTGAAGTCTGCTGGAAGTAGAGGATGAGACGGTGAGTATATCTGGAAGGTGGCATAACCAGAACCTACCATCTGCATTCTAGTTACACTAGTAAGAACTAGCAGAAAACTACAATTTTCTCAATAAAATATTTTCTTCTTTTCATAAAGGAACATAATAAAAATTGGACAGAAACTAATTTGGGGTGAAGCAAATTCATCTGACACTGAAAGTGAGTTTCAGCAGTGTGGAATAATAATGTGACTAGAAGCTGAGACAGAATTTTATAAAGACCACAAAATCCATGGACTTTTGTTGGTGTACATACTTTCACTGGACTGAAAACACACGAGGCATGCCATTTGAATGTGGATTCTTCACTGATTACGATCTTTTCTTCTCTACATGGACATGATGTAACTGTTGATGTTGACAGTAAATAAGATCTCTCTTTGATATACTTAATGACACCTATTCGAATTTTACAATCCATTTGGACATCTGGCTGTTGACAAAGGTATTGTGCTGTCTAGAGGGAGAATCATTTTCAAACTATATATTTCTAGGAAACAAGCACATTTGCAACATGACTGGCAACACAGATGACAGTGACACATGCGACAGTTAAAATAATCAGATGGACAAATTTTTCTCCTTTCTGGATTCTTTTGATAACCTGTACACAAGATCCGTCAACTTTTGTGAAATTGGAGGACAGAATCATAAAGGAATGCGAGGAGACTTCAAATAAAACACTAAAAGTGAAATGGGGTGACATTATGCTATGGTGAGAGATGCCATGACAAATTATTTCAAAAGACAAATACACATAAACCACCAGGAGAAGGCAACTTCTGAGATCAACACAAATATCAGAGTTGTACAACTGTTCTATATCATCTGATCCATCCGACGAGAAAATAATTACTCTGTCTTCTGTCATGTTCTCTAATTAACTGAATAGATATTAGTGATTTTAACCCTCTGTAAATGTAACCCATATACATAATGTAGTCTTCAACAGTGGTAAATATATGAACTCTGCTAGTGGTAGAGAAACAGACAATATCCTTTAGTTCCAACATTTGTTTTAAGCGAATGCAAGGGAGCCTTGACCTTGAACCAAATGAAGAGAATGAAACCCACAACGCAACAAAATTATTCATCTTGAAGCTTGACATAATGAACACTGGAGAGTTGCAGGAAGCTACATGTGGTGGTGCCATGAGTGTGCAGTGAAGAACAATAATTACAAAATTTCAGTGCTCAAAGTGGAAAATTGGTTTGCCTATAGACCTGTGTTTTTCACATTTCCTATAGAGACGTAAGACTGTAAATCAACCTATAGGAAACACATTTACTAAAATATAAGTACTGTACATGTTGATCTATACAATCCGTATTTAATTCAGTTTAGAAATTTATAACCTGTTTTGAACAAACTCATTTTCTTCTATTAAATTATAGTACTATAAAACAGGGCCACTTATTCTGTTTCAGGAACGTTTTAATATAATATTTTAGCACTAATAGTTTCACATATATACATTTTCTCAATATCACTGCTTTAACACGAAGTTAAATAACCGAATTAAATTCCAGCTGACACTCAGGTAGTTTGAGTATCTAAATACCGTTCCCATGATAAAGGTTACATAAAATTATGAAATACCAACTATAACAAAAGGAAGTATTAGAATAGAAAAATAAACAGACAGATTATTCAAATATGCAAAATACTAAAATTAATATATTTCTTCTAAGTCTCATCTTTATGTTTTCAGAATGGGCCCTCACTAATACCTTTCTACATGCCTAATTTTCTTACTCATCCAGAGCATGAAAGGAAAGTACTGAAAATATAAACAAAGTTACAACAACTACATAATACTACATAGAACAAAGCCAACAAGGTGCCCAAGCATATGAATTAACTCATACTTTGATTATTAAAACCTGTCTACTTTACTACTCATAATAATTGAAATCTACAATGGCAGTTGTCACAAACAACCGATATTAATGTAAAAATTAAAGCTTAGTCTTTTGAATACAACAATTTTGAAAACACTGTCTGACAGCCATCAAGAGCAAACTTAGCAAAGTTATGTAGATTTATTTCATGCAGGGTACTTTATGCCTTGGATAAGGTAAAAGTCATAGTCCACTAGAATGTGGCTGTCTCATTCACAGTACAGCAACATTTCATGGGAGCTTTCCGAGTCATCTGCCTTGAACATTACATCTGGCTCACCTTGTGGGCTGGGCATGATGGGTGTGCCAGGCCCGGGTGGCCCGGTAGAACCTGGAGGACCCTAGAAAACACAAAAATACATTTTTTACATAATTGCATTTCAACACTGAATGAAGTTTTCATTCATTTGCATTAAACCCCTTTAAATGTGTCAATCAGGATAGCTATTCGTTTAATGCGATGATAACCATTAACTAGAATTATGTGACGTCAATGAACTGTCGGTAGCTTCTGCCATCAGCAAACAGTTTTTCTGTGCAGTGTCCAAGATGTGGTCTGCTAGGCTTCGGGTGGTTATTCATTGGCTTATTTTGAATAAAATGTGCTATATAAACATGGACCAAAATCTAAACAGTTACACAGTTTTGACAGATAGAAAGTGAGAAAACTCATAGAAATTTGCAAACTAAATTAAATTATTTAAACCAAAGAAATTAATAGCAACATAGGAATGGTATTCTACTTATATTTAATGTACATTGTGACATAACGTACATACTTAAGTTGCTTGCTGTTCAAAATTACCTACACTATGTACAAGTGAGCTTATTTTGAAACAGCACGTTTCTTTCCACGATTGTTCCGCATGGAAACAGCACAATCCATGATGTGCTGTAAAAGTTAGTTTCATATCTGTGATTTCTCTTAACATACAAAGTCCTTCATGTATCCTTGTAACCTCACAAGAAGAAATCAAGGGTGTCAAAACTGGTGAACAGGGTTTCCAAATATGAGGACATCCACAACCATTTTGATGCCCACAGAACTGGTTCACGTACCGTTACTTGCAGAATGAAATAAGATGGACCTGTTGTGTTGCAGCCATGTTTAATCTGACTTGAAAAAGAACATCTTCCAAAAGTGACAGCTCACCACATAGAAAAATGCAAGTAGTAATCTGTCAAATGTCCCGAAAGAAGGAATGGGATCAGTGGAATGGTGCAGATTGTTGGAGAGATCATATATGGGTATTGCAGCAGTTGATTATCCTGTCTTGTGCAAATCAGACCTCATCACAAAACGTTTATCTAATGACAAAAATGTACTTGAACTGCTTATTCACCGAGTTGGAGAGCATGCAGATGTTGGCAGTGGTATCGGTACAGACCTTACCAACGTAAATTTTGTTATACCTGCATGTAAGTTATGTGCATCTGACAAACAGTTCAGTGAACACTTACTCTTGGGCTACACTGGACCATTCGCTGTATCTCTTCTTGGTCGTCAACATATTGTCGTACGCCCATGACACCACGTCTCACAACTGCTGACATGCACTGTTGGATGGCACGAGTTAGGAAACTGACACTTACGATCTTCAAACACTGTCCATGCAGTCCCATCACAGAACCCATACACAAAATAAATGTTTACATACTCTGTAAACTGTATTTGGTATATTGGTCACGCACGACACAGGCACTTCTCATGAACAGACATCAAACAAACAACCTTTCCATCACTCAACACAAGCTACCTACCAAGTGATGGGTGTGTGCACATGGCATGGGCAAGTCCACTGTCTCAGCACTGACGGGGACACTCTGCTGGAACGAGCAAACTAGCAGTTAGAAAAGGATGGTGGGGAAGATGAGGACAATGATAACAGATTCATCAGACAACTACAAATGGTTTTCAACCCATGTTAATACAACATTTTTAACTCAGAATAAGCCAACGAATAACCATCCGAAGTTCGGTAGACATTTCCTGGGACAAACTGTATATACGTTGGAATGCTTTATTCATGTTACATGGTATAAGTTTGTGTACCGATAAAGCAAGGTACAAAATAAAAAATACAACCACAAGTTAAAAAAATCATAGAATAATAACTTTTAAAAAATCCTTAATGTATATGTGATTAATTTACACCTGAAATGACATAGTTGCAGTTTGAATTTGACATGCTGACGCCCGTGAGTGTACATACAAGCATTGGTCACAGTTGCAAAAGAAATCAGTTCTCATACATGTCACCATACTTTATTTTCTTGCTTGTATCAAATGAAGAAATATCTATACAATGATACCAAAGAAAAGGACACAACTAACAATGACAAATTCTGATTCCAGACGGAATCAGTCAGAAAATTGTAACTGTTTGTATCGGCAAGTGCGTTTGTGCACAAATTCATGTAATACATGGAGTGCCTGAGTGATATATAGGTAATGTAATGATGTTACAATATCAAGAGAAAGAATAAATAAAAAATGTTTGGTCAAATTTGGCAATTTAGAAGAAATGGGATATATACACCAGATGTGACCCATTTTAGGAACCATTCCAGCACCCAACACTCGCATAGTGAAGGATCCACTTACTGCCATTTTTCATATTCTTTTTACACTGAAATTCAGAACTATGAATTTTTTGGTAAACTCTACACTGATCTCAGCAAGTTTGTAATTTACGTCACTTGATAAAATAAAGCTTAAAATATCTTATAAGTTCTACAATTTGATGTATATAACATATTTACATAAAACTAAATTTAATTAACATCACATACTTGAACAAAGTCACTTACGCCATAATTGCCTGGTGAGGACGAAGAGTAGTTCATGGGCTGAAAAACAGAATTTAAACATTAGAATTATGAAACGTACCTAATTTCTACAGCCTAGTAGCCCAAGCAATCACAAAATAAAACACAATTATATTAGACGAAGAGTTTCATGCCACTCCTCGCAAAATTAGGAGAATGGGTCATAGTTTAAAATCCCCACTGCTAATAAATTATGAAGAGACTTAAACAGCCGACAGATGATGCGTGAGATGATGTAAAATGTGGTTTGAGAACAGGGTATAACATGTCCTGAGGTATTTTTACAACACTTGCCTAAGATAATAAAGATCATTAAATGTATGTTTTAGATTTTAGGTTCACACAGCTATAAAAATGTTAACTGAGATCTCCCAAGTTGTGACAGCGTAGTCTTGCAGATGGTTACAAATGTTTAGCGATAATGTTATCATATCCATCTTCAGGGTAACCTAACTACATGACATCACAACACAAATCACCATGAAACAACACCCACCCACTCAAAAATTCAAAACTGCAAATAAATTTATGAGAGCAATATAAACCATGCACTATGTATGAGAGTTATTTTAATACATCTGACCAGAAGATGGATATTTTCCACCACAAAGTTCCAATGTCTGAAAAGTATACACAGTCAAACATGTTTCAGGCTTCTTTTCTTAGCTTAGTTGACAAGGACCCTGTCACCATCTTGAATTCAATGGAATACTATTTCATAAGAGAATGGTGCAGTACATGGTCGGAAATCCAACACACAATCCTTAAAATAAATTTTTTTCACAAATTCCTACTTATTCTGGACTAAAGCAGACATGTTTTATTCTTGAGAGACCATGCTTATAGTAATGACAAAAGCAGAAAATGGTAATGATTACACAGGGAGAGATATAATTATTTAAACATGCAAGCGTAAACACAGCACAGGAAGTGGGTACCTAGGCGGCGCTAGTGTCGGCGTCAGTTGCTTTCTTCTTGTCCGCCAGTACAATATATTATAATTCTTCCTCGATTTACACTGTTTCAGCTAATGACCCTGAGGAGGTGGAACGTAACCCTGGCGTAAATCAGGTCCTACCTGCTGCATAGTTTCTTTGAAACGAATGTAAGAACAAAAGAAAGTGGGCTTCTCATAACAGAAACTTATCATGTGAATACATCGAGTACTTCTAGAATATACCGAGAAGCAGAGATATTGTAATATAAGGGTCCTGCTGTTTTCATGTAAATGAGAAAGAGCATCAAAATTCAAAAGACAGCAACAAAACTAGACTGGTTTTTGAACATACTTATTAACCATGACAGAGTAGCGTAATGGATAAAAGCCTGCTGTCTTTCAGGTACAGCAAACAGAGTACCAAATATATCCAACAGGAATATGAAATGAAGGGCTGGATACAAAATAAATGAATTTCATTTTCTGAAAAAGAAACAAAACCTAAGCTTCTACGATGAATGCTGTCATTCAGAAATATGGACAGAATATATGAATTTGATCACCTGGCCAATGATAGGGGGCATCAGGTCATATATATCTCACTTCCTACCAATGTCAGTACAACCCAGCAGAACGTGTGTGGGCTGAAATGAAACAGCAAAGAAAAACAAAGCAATCACAACTGTAGAAGATGGAAATCTGTTGAACGAAGAGCTTAATGAAGTAACATAATTCCTGGGCCTCATGTTTAAAGCATGCGGAAAATCTACAAGAAAATTCTTATGCAAAATAAAAATAAATCGGGTGTGACAAAGCACTAGAAACAATAATTATTGATTTACAAGACAGCAATACAAAACATAAGGAAAGTAGTGGTGATAACAAACCAATATCTATTCATTTATATTAAATAAGAGCATTCAATATTACAATATGCTTGATTAATCTGTTTTATTCACATTCACTGACTTTGCCTATTTGGATAATACATACATACATAAATTAAAGTCTCTCTCTTTCTCTCTTAAAACTTTGTATACCATGCAGTGTACTGACACATAAAATCATGCATAGAAACAAAAACTGTTTACACGTTGAAAAGACACTTAGTGACAAACGTGTTTCGACCTCAAGAGGTCATCATCAGTGCCAATTAACGTCCAGTGCAATATTGCATTAAGTATGGTTTTATAAAGTGTGACCATTTATGCTTCTTAACAAACCGTTCTTATGAATTGTAAAACTTAATATGAATTCTGTTTGCCACTGATGATGACCTCTTGAGGACGAAACGCGTTTGGCACCAAGTGTCATTTCAAAGTATAAACAGTTTTTGTTTGTATGCATGATTTTATATATCTCTTTCTCTCTCAAAATACTTTAAAGAATGCTGCTTCAGGCACGAAAGTGTTGGCGACATTTGCATTAACTTGTCACTGACTCTCATTAAACGTCAGGAGATTTGAATCCTATTTGTGTGTGTTTCAATACAGGAGACAACGATGACCTTTCATCCGACACACACACAATTTTATACATTTCTAACATTAACGTTCCCAAACAAAACTCATCATCATTATCCAGCAATGAGATAGACCATTTATTGACCTGTTCTAGCTTCAGTCATCCTCAATTACTTAATTCACATGGTCTTCACATTTTCAACGGTACAGACAGCGCACAATGTCTACATGCTGAAATAAACTAATTTCGTGTTTCAAAGTTTTGTCAAATCTAAGTCCAGATATTTTCTTTGAGGGTTGCAAGTAAAACAAAAATAAGAAAACTAAACTTCTACATACTCTTAAATTTGGCAGCTACATGAAAAGTCCAACTTTGATCATAATTAATTAAATTTTCTCATCAGACTCGCATTATTGATTTCTATACTTATGGTATCATCACCATAAACAACACCACTATCTGCATATCCTATTCTGAGCAGAATGTTCCTTCCAGATCAGTCTTGGGCATCAAATAAATCTTCTTCCCTTTGGAACATAAAATTTGCCTAGGAATCTGACAAGTTCCATCCTTTCGGCGCGGATACTAATCTCACTATACGAGTACAGCCACTTTACACGGTACAACTGTGCAGGTGTGTAACATTAACCACTTCTATGATTATACTGAGATACCTCCAGTTCATGGATTTTGCAAAACATCATTAACCCAAGTTAATTTGGTACAAATTTCCTCTTCAGTCCTCATTATTATTGAACCAAATGTAATCAGTGAAGGGGTTAACACAATGTCTACAACTGAGTCCAGCAAATAAATAAGATATAAAACTGTAAATGTGAGAGAAATATGATACAAAGTTTAGTTGCTCAGATTTCTGTCTTCTGGGTTGTTGCGCTGTGTAGTCTGGTCGATGTTAACCAACATTTCAGAGGTCATACTGCCTCCGTCATCAGGGCGATGAATATGACCTCAAATCTTACATATTTAGTTGCTCGGTTTATATTTGGCTATATTTATGTAATTTTTAAAATCTAAACATACAATATTATTACATCATAATATTATAAAATAATGGGTATGGATATAATTTTTAAAAAATTATGTCATAATTTCCAAAAAAATATTTCAATTAAATATGACATAAATATGTGTTCAGTATATGCCACATTTCAAAATATTCTTTACATGTAAATAATATGTATGATTTGATATTTTCACAGTGGTGAGTATGATGATTTCTGTCTTCTGGGTTGTTGCGCTGTGTAGTCTGGTCGATGTTAACCGACGTTTCAGAGGTCATACTGTCTCAGTCATCAGCGCGATGAAAGAGCCAATTGAATGGAGGGGGCTCATTCATCGCCCTGATGACTGAGACAGTATGACCTCTGAAACGTCGGTTAACATCGACCAGACTACACAGCGCAACAACCCAGAAGACAAAAATCATCAAATATGTACATTCCCTTCATGAAAATTTTGTAGTACAGCATTCTGGTGTGTATTTTTCAGATATGTGATGCATTTGCTCATCACTTCCTACACACGCTTCCTACGTGTTTATCGAACTACATGTTTTGGACATAAGTGCCCAAAATATGCAATTTGATAAACACTAAGTAGCATGTAAAATGTAATGACTGAACAAACATAAACATGAGTTGTAAGTTGCTTTTGTTCCCTAAGGATACTTCAATTTTCCCAGTTAATTCCTTTCATCAACATTTCAACATTAACTTTCTTCTTGTTTTCCTCCAAAAAAACCCATTATTTTTAATTCCAGTCAACGGGACAGTGTTTGCGTCTCTCTTCCTAAGATTTGTTGCCAGTTGTCTGGTTAATGCAATCAGAAATTGATTGTGCATATATTTCAGCCACAGTCTTTGCCTCAGAACCTCTCCAAAAGTATATAGCATTTAGGCTACAGTGCACAAAACACTATTAAGATGAAATCAGGAGCACTTCATGGCCTCAAAGTGGAACTAAGCTCATCCATAATGACCACCCCATTTCTGTAGCGCTGTAGAAGGAGTAACTACTGGATGAAAAGCATCAGACAGCAGCCATCTTGTTATGCATTAAAGAGATAAAACTGATCACTGTTTTTTTCTTTGATATGTAGAACACATATTACAGCCTTTGAATCAAAATAAATAGTTTAACAATATTCATCAGTATGTAAACTACTGAAAGTAGTGCATTTATCAATAAGTTCTATGAGATAGAATTATTTGTAAAACAGTTTTCAACTGTTACATTTCTAGCTAATAAGGAAACACAATAAAATTTTCTTGGGTGATCAGCCGTGTCAGATGGTTAAACGATGAAACCGACGTTTCAGGGGACAGAATTTTTTTTATTGAGTTAGTCACCGCCAAAGCTTCAAATCATATAATAAGGAAACACATAAGATAAAATTAAACCAAAAGCATTCGTACTATCAAATTATATTCCCCTTCTTTAATCTTCATGTACCTGATTCATCTATGTACTTTTAATTTTTTATCTGCATACAAAGCCTGTTTATAGTAGTAAGTGTTAACTTACTCGCATATTTTCTTGTTTTGTCAACTACAATACACAAAAATAGATAACACCTAATGTGCCTCAAGGTATTTCACAATTCTGCCCTTCTATAAAGTAGGCCTATAACATAAAACATTATCTATCTTATACCACACACATCCACCAAAGAAAAAGATAACCATACAAATATTTTCTACAATAGGTAGAATGTGGATGAAATTAAGGAGTACAGGACAAAACACGTGAAAATGGCCATGAATCTGAAAATAAATTTGGAGTGCTTGGAGTACGTGAAGGACATCGGAAACTTATTTTTCAACGATAAACAAAGTGAAGCAATTTCTTACAGATACTTCCTAAAATACATGTACACACTGTGCTTCAAAATTTTGAAATTATACACACACAGGTGTCCCAAAATTCACACCCACAGACCAACCATGCTTATTCTCGTAACTGCTTTTTCTCATATTCCACTTCTAACGAGTGATGGGCTACTTAATCAGTTTCGCCACCAACAGCAAACATAACATGTAAACAGTGTGCCATAATGGTTCAGGCATTAGCAGTTTGTACGTACTACTTGTATGCCACTGTGATCTTCCTGCGTGTAATATGGAGTCCAGCTTCAACGAGTATGTAAATACGGAATATGCGCATGTTCTTTGGAGAGTGTTGTGGTGTGACAAATGTAACGAAGACCAAATATTACTGCCTTCATGATACGGAGTGATGAGACCACGTTTTCAAGGGAACAAGTGGTAAACATGCACAGCGAACATCACTAGGCACTCTCAAATCCTCATTACTTAAGAGAGTGACTGATTAAGTCTACACGTGGGCTGGAATTTTAAAAAATTAAATCATATACCTCCTGACAGATTATGTGCATGGACATCCAATATTTTCCTGCAGAACATATTTACAAATATCCTGGGAGCCATCTCCACATGTGCATGGACACGCGCACACTCAAATTAATGTGGTGTGACCATGATGGAGTACAAGTGCACTATGGGACGGTTGTGTGACGTTATCTCAACACCATGTGGACAGGATTGCGTGCATTTGATGACCTGCTACGTCTCCTGACATAAACCTGATTGACGTATTTCTGTGGGGTCACCTAAAATCAGTAGTGTATGACAGAGCCAACTGAAGGACATTTTCAAGGTACCAGCATATGATGCCCGTGTGGCAACAATTATGGCAGAAATGTTGCAGTATGTAAGACTTGAGGTTCTCACAGCAGTGAGTATGAAGATTTCCGTCATCTGGGTTGTTGCGCTGTGTAGTCTGGTTGATGTTAACCAACGTTTCAGAGGTCATACTGCCTCCGTCATCGCCCTGATGATGGAGGCAGTATGACCTCTGAAACGTTGGTTAACATCGACCAGACTACACAGCGCAACAACCCAGATGACGGAAATCTTCATACTCACTGCTGTGAGAACCTCAAGTCTTACATACTGCAACATTTCTGCCATAATTGTTGCCACACGGGCATCATATGCTGGTACCTTGAAAATGTCCTTCAGTTGGCTCTGTCATACACTACTGATTTTAGGTGACCCCACAGAAATACGTCAATCAGGTTTATGTCAGGAGACGTAGCAGGTCATCAAATGCACGCAATCCTGTCCACATGGTGTTGAGATAACGTCACACAACCGTCCCATAGTGCACTTGTACTCCATCATGGTCACACCACATTAATTTGAGTGTGCGCGTGTCCATGCACATGTGGAGATGGCTCCCAGGATATTTGTAAATATGTTCTGCAGGAAAATATTGGATGTCCATGCACATAATCTGTCAGGAGGTATATGATTTAATTTTTTAAAATTCCAGCCCACGTGTAGACTTAATCAGTCACTCTCTTAAGTAATGAGGATTTCCAGAAGACAGAAATCTTCATACTCTGATGACGGAGGCAGTATGACCTCTGAAACGTTGGTTAACATCGACCAGACTACACAGCGCAACAACCCAGAAGACAGAAATCTTCATACTCTGATGACGGAGGCAGTATGACCTCTGAAACGTTGGTTAACATCGACTAGACTACACAGCGCAACAACCCAGAAGACGGAAATCTTCATGTTGCAGTATGTTTGAGCAAATGTAATCCAACATGCAGAAGCATGTATTGAGGCCAATACGAGCAACTTTGAGCACCCACTGTAATGTGATCAGATTACCTTTTCTTCTGTCAGTTTTTCCACAAGATTTTGAGTAGGTCATTGTGTTTGAGAAATGAAATGTAAGAAGAAAGCAGTAACAAAAGTACAAAAATCAAACCAGTAAAATAAAAAAGCCAAAGCAAGTAAAACGAATTAAAAATTACAGAAGGGAACTAAAACATGATGAAAGACATACCACAGAAAAACCATACCTGTTGGGGACTGAACCAAAAACCAGCCACATACAAAGAAAGCACTCTACCACAGATCTACAATGAGTTCACATGATACTACATCACACAAGAGCCTGATCGCAACTTCCATTTCTCTGTGCATTGTTCCGACATTTCGTTTGACTTTGTGATTTCCAGGTAAATACTGTGTCAGACGAAGTTTCAACAGGGAACGCTTTCATTTTAAAATTTAGCAAGGATCTGCTTGGTTATGTCCATTGCCGCAAAATATGCAACATTGTGCAACACAGTCCCATTGACAACACCTTCATTTCATGATAAAATAATCTGTACCAAGTATACAAAAATTCCTCCAGAAGACAGTCCAATACACTACTCTCTATTACGACCATAATACGTACTGTGGATGTGTTAGGTTGCCACTGTGGTCTGCCGCCCGGCCCAGCCATTGCCATGGGTGGCATTCCGGGTCCGCCCGGCCCACCGGGCCCCCCTGGGCCTGCAGGACCCAGAGAGCTATTAGGTGGAGGGCCTCGCATGCCTGATCCATAAGTACCTGGCCCTATTGGACCCATGGCAGGCCCTCTTGGTGGGTTCATACGAGGATTCATCGGACTCATTCCTGGCGGTCCTGAAACAAATTACATAACCCTGATCAGACAACATTAGACAGAGTTATAAATATTTTCACTGAGATACCCCAGAAAATAATTGTTAACATTTTCTAACCAGACATGTTATGGCAACTAATAATCTAAATTTATTAATTAGTATGTTATTTGAAAACATTAGAAATAAATTAAGTACTTATGTGAGTGCACAAAGCCACTGACAGATTATTTCATTTACAATTTCGCATTTTACCAATGAGGACTGAAAGTCAAAATGAAAAAAAATACTAGGGAAAGTATTTGTAAATTGTGACACACAAAATGTTCAAAAAATGTGTTGATGAAAACTGAATATTACTTTGATATATGGCAATTTAAAATGATGATTAATTTAAAATTTTTAGGAAATGGTTAACAGCACCGATTGGGCTTCACAGTGATACAGAAATTCACTTATATATGTAAAATAAAAATCATTTTAATAGTAAGTGCAGCATTAGTATAAAAATTCAAGACAAAGATTACCATTGTACCAACATTTATACAAAATAAACATCAACAAGCTACTGGAAAAAAACAAAGCCATCACCTATTCATCCATAGCAGAAGACCTGAATTAAAAATTCTCAAGGTCACAGATTACTTTCACAAAATATAGCCACAGAGCTACATGAGGATGACTATCCAATCTACTGTGATTGTTAGAGTACCTTAATGTTACAATAAATGTCTGAAACAACAGCAGCTTTATGCCAATGCCCCCAATTCACTCTTCTAGGGCCCACATGCAGGTGTCACATTCTATTATTTAAAAAATTCTGTCGCAATTACCAAAATCTAAATAACACAGATGCAAAAGAGGTTAGCCTACCATGGCCACACATAGTGTACTTACTATCTCTGCTAGTGCAACCCCCAGTTTAATTGAAGTACATAAATTACGTCATAATGACCTCCGCAATAACAAAATATTACTAAATCAATTATTAATAAGGTCCATTAATGTACACTTTTACACATGCAGAATAAGATATATTAACAAAAGCAGTTTGTGTCTACCTACCTTAAAAATGATCAAACTAATAAAGGGTTACAACTACCACTAAAACTTTGATCAAGTCTTTTTCTTTTTCAAGATTCATTCATACCTGACTGGCTGCCATTAAAGTACTTCACATTAATCGTAGACATTATTGTAGGCGTGTCTTTAAATAAAAATACCAAATTTTGCTGTCACAAAAGCAAGACCGCTAGAATATGGTACTGCCACTTTCAGCCAGCCCTTTCATTCAAACAACGTCATATTTTTCTGTTAACATCAAACTTTCATTCAAATTTAATGTGCAACCATGGATTCCATCTAATAACAAAACACAAAAGGCTTTCCGCCACATGAAAATAATTCAAAACAATAAACGGACAGTCATACAAGACACACCAGACAGACAGAAAGAAACCCAACTGGACAGCCCAGCCCCATGGCAAGGAGAGAGATGTAGAAACTGTTGGGCTTTGCCTACCTTGCCAACCTACAAACTCTCCGCCTTCACCTGGGGAAGATAGAAAAAAAACAAGAAGTAATCAGTGTATAGTATCAACTTTCATTACCAATTACTCATTGACTACCCACAATTCTGTCAGAAAGATCGTACAAAACACAGTAAAATATATGCCTTCATATAGTTAATCTTAAATACTACATGTTTCGTCATCATAACTATTGTTACTTGTAGCAATTAAATAATTTATTTGGATCCAACACATTTTATTCTAATTTTGCACCATTACAAACATTATTTGTGTGTTAATTTCACTGGTAGATAATATTTGTAATTGTAATTCTTTAACAAAGAATAAAATTGAGAAATAATTACGAACAGGGCTGGCCGCGGGACGGTAGTCACCTGGGGTGCCAGCTTCGGTATTCTATAAATGTAATTAATACTTTCTATTTCAACTAGATGGAGCAAAGTATGAATCGCACAAAGCTGTGTGATTTTAATTTTATGAGTCTTCTTTCCTGTGTCAGTTCTTGACACTTGACAGACGCCGTACTTTAACAATCGCGTTTAACATGAAGACTTTGCCTGTTCTTTTATTCACGAGTCATGAGATTACAGTGTTGTAGCGGTATAACCTCATTCTTGGTTATATGATAATGAATGCCAGGATGATTGCCAATTGGCAGGAGGGTTTCGGCTGTTTCATGCAATACTTCGAGAGATGACCAAGGAAGAAATCAGACAACAGCCAAGACCAAATGGGTGAAAAAATGCAAATCTAACAAAACTGAGGTCAAGTAATATTACAGATTGAGCACATTTATACCAGTGAAATAACATCTTCAGGAAGGATGTTAAAAAAATCTCTGAGCAGTGTAACAAAATTTCATAGCACACATGAAGTATATATCACGTCTAAATAATTTATTTTATTGCAGACTGCGGCCATCAACCAACATTTACTTGTGTAAGGAGTACACAGGGACCTACAATTAATCAATTTTTATGATTACTGTGTTACATAACTACACTAAATATCGATTTATTTGCCTCAAACAAGTAGAAGCTCTCCAAACACGTAAGGGGTACAAATCATGCATAATCAACGAAGAAAAAGAAAATAATTGGGGGGACGGGGCACAAGCGATAAACCTACATGAGGAGTGGTTGTATCAGCACATTTCTTCACGCACAGTCAGAACAAAAAAGTCACAAAAAACAACTGTTAACTTCAGTGCCATCTGCCTGTTGGCATGTAACAGCTCGGATCCTGTTCAATGGATTTAATAAAATTTTATGTTGGCATCTTTCACATAAATCTGTGTAGATGTCTTCATTATTCAACAAAATCGGTAATACAGACAATTGGTTCGACTGAAACTGGTTTTATAATTGTCATTTCTTATTCTGGGTCCAGACAATACTTTTGGGGACATTTTGGATGGAAGTCATCTCTTACAAAATATAGTAATTTGTGAAATCAAACAAATTCTCTTTTCCGGGCCTTGTGGTCTGTACTTTTCGTAAACTGTTATGAAGTGACATGATTAAGTCTTAGTTGTTTAGAAGTTCAGTTTAAGTAAAATTACATTCTATCTGAATATTAACATGAATGAAGTAGTGATCCATCTGCTTTATGTTTACGTGTTATTGGCATTTCAAGCTTATTGGCCTTTCTATGTCTTGACACGACAAAAAAACACACTGTAGGCAACATTTGTTATACGCTCTTTTACTATCCTTTTTGCACATGTGGTTTTTATTTCAGTATCATAATCAATATCCTGTACTTGGCAACAGCAAAAGCTTCCACATAGGCCGACTAACGGGACTTTACGTGAGCAACCGCAGATAAGGATGTGTATGGTCCATGCTGTCTCGGATAATATGCTAGTTACAGGAGCATTGATGAATACTGAATCTGATTTCATCAGAATTTATTGAATAACTGATGATGGGCAAATGAATAACTCCTTCCAAAGAAAAATAAAATAGATGCATTAATGATACCTAATTTCCTGGCCATAAACACAAGTTTTTTGACTTATTTCTCTGGCCCGTGAAACTGCCACCTTTCTAATTTTTAAGAACATTTTGTGTTGGAAAGAAACGTATGCGATTTCCTCAGAAAATATTGTGTCTTACACTTTAATCGAGGGATAAGACACAGTAATCTTCGGCATTAGTTTCCAGACACTCTGTACACACATATATAATGATAACGATAAAATAAAACTGATGAACAGGTTACTGTGACAATTACATTAATCGATGTGTGTTCCTTCTGTTGCAGTATCAGCATTTTGAAGTTCATTAAGGAACAATAAATCATTATGAGAAACAAACATGAAGTGTTCAAAACTGGCACCATATGAAACTAGCACTAAACCTAATTTACATAACCCACTTCTACAAATTATCACATGAAAAATAATAAATGCAATTTGAAAAAAACAATTCAATTCATGCTACCAGAAATTAATCTCTGTACGTCTTAAATCGCCCTGGATAAATACTGGATGTAATATAATTTTAAAAACAGATAGCGACTGCCACTTTCCAAAGCTTCATTCAAACAAAATTCATAGCATTAACAAAACATGAATCACACTAATCATATATCTTCTAAGATGTGATTCGCTTAAATATTAAATATACAGAGGAACCACACATGCAATACAAAAACAAACAAGTTAACAGCAGCTGAAGAAATGTATACTGAGATTTTAATCTTATTATTTCATAATGAAAGAGATAGTAAATTATAAAATTTTTACTGATTGTGTATAATATTACTTTTGGAAAATGTTATCCTAAAATATGCACATGATTATAATTAGCAAAGTCTGTAATGCTTGCACATAATGTTAATATAACAGTTGCCAAGATAAAGCTTCTAGCAGTTTGTGACCTTGTGAGACAATGTCAAATTGCCTAAAAGGTCCCGTTAACACGGTTATAAAAAATCTGTTTATTTTCGTCATAAAAATGTATAACACTTGCATTCTCAAGAATAATTTATTTTAATATCTCTTGTGTTAACAATCATCCTTAAAAACGATGAAAATAAATTCTCATTCAAAAATATTCTTTTAAACGAAACTACCACGTGAATATTTATTTCCCTTCCACAGTTTGATACTTTATAAATATACGTATTTCAGAATTAAAAAACTTAGGGTGCGAGTAACTTGGTAATAAAAACTACGCCCAACTGCTACTTACATTCAAACATAAGAAAATAATTACTAAAGATTATATGGTAAAGGCAAATGTACTTGGGTTTAGGGATAATGATTTTTCCCATGATACTCAACAAAAGGCACTGAATTGTCAGCCTATGGTAATCTTTCGGGCAAGAGAGAATGATAAAAAATGCTAAGCATCATCTAGTCTAGTCATGAAATCTAATGATAATACCATAACAATTGAAGATGTTATACCGCGTTTCTTCTGTTACACCCATTCTTTAATTTTACCTCAGACCCCGCAGTAATAATCATCACTATCACGAAACATTTTAATGTTGTAAACTCATCTATAGGTGGCGTATTTTATGAATGTCCACTTCAACTGTGTATGTCCATAAAATCCTTTGGCTGTCATAATTCAGCTTCACTGTATTCATGGTTTCTTTCAGACTTTAATAAATAAACACAACAACCGTAAGCGTCCTTTCACACGAGGCTCAGTCAGCTGCAGATCAAGCCAGTCTAGCCAACGCATTTATACGGGAGAGTCACATTGTGGGGGGAAAAAACTCCAGTAAGTTGTTAGTAATAGGTATTATTAAGTTGGTAACTCTAGCGGAGGGTCACGAGAGCCGAACTCTGAATTGCATATCGGCTCAGCGAGCTGCTCACGTGTGAAAGTAGTCTAAAGCTCTTCCATGTATCAAATCCACTGGTGACGGATTCGGGCCAATCTAGCGACTCTATTTTGACACCACAAATACCAGAATTTGTATACACAGAGCTGGAAATTCTTGGCAGACTGTTAAGTGTGCTTATAATTAACAGAAATAACAGAGCACTTGGGTTTATCTTAAACATCTACAATAAAAGGGAGCTTTGTAGCGTCTGTATGAAATCTAATGCAGAATTTTAAGGTTATAATCATATATTAACGTCCCTTACGAACCTTGCCTTGTGGGGTCCATGCTGTTTGGTATCATTGGCTGTCCTGGAGGCTGAAACACAAAAAAACACATCTATAAGTACCGAACTACTTATGACTTTTCCAATTTATTTGAAAGCGATATTTCAAATTCTCGTGGCGGCAAATATGAAGATGGCCGTGTTCTGGGTTGTTCCACCGATGTTTCAGGGATGCCTGATGCCTCATTTATCAATGTGGCGATTGCTCTGATGATCGAGGCAGCAAGAACCTCCGAAACATCGGTAAACTTCTGCCAGATACGGTGCAACAACCCAAAAGACAAGCTATGTTCAATCTTGTTTCTGTCTTATATGAAGTTGTTTCTGCAGATTTTAAATAAAGATAATATTAAAAATAAGTTTGCACAACATAAGTTTTAATTTTAATAGTTATAAAAACAAACAAATGACTATGAATCTTTAAAATGAATGTTTGCGTGTTCCAGCTACTAGCAAAAAAAAGATGCACTGGATAATAAACCTCAAATGGCATACGGAGACGCCGCTGCACCCCCAAATTATAAAATGTGATGAGGTATTTAAGCTTCTAGCATTGCTGGACCAATGTTTCTTAAAAATACTGTGAATGCTGATAATTACTTTCACCTCCACAAAGAACAATTTTCGTAATTCCTCCAATGAATATCAATTTCAAGGAGACAGTTTTTCCAGTAGAATGGGGCTTAACTGCATACAGAAAATGTGGTGCTGGACGCTATCAATGAACGAACTAACCAACTAGATGGCTTACCGAACCCGAAGGTTCATCACCGAACTAACCAAAGCCCTCCACCGGACCCTGTCCTGGACCAACAAAATCCAGTCTCCTTCAACTCCTATCTCCCATAGATCCCGCCTGCTTTGGTCTGTCCTTTTAGTATTTTGTAAATCGTGATAATTATTGCAGGAAGTTTTCCAAAGCATTGGTAAGTAAATCAAATTTAGATAATTTATATAAAGATTATTTTGAAGTTTATTTTCGTTCCAGTGATCCATTAAAGGTAAAATTCGATATTTGTACTCACCCCATTAAATTCATTACCGATCTGTGGCATCCGAACTCCAGGTCGTGGCCCTGCTGGGTACCTGGGCCCCATGAAGGACTGTAAAGAAGACAAAATTGGTATCAATTACCTGAAATGTGTTCACAGTGCAAACTTTTACGAATAGTGTTTTCAAAATGTGAGGGAAAATTAACAACACTTTAAAAGAATTTACTACTGAGTTTATTTATCATGCTTCATTTCAGAGGAGATAAAAGATAACCACACAACAAACGACCAATTAGTGAATTATTATTAATAATAATTACTAATAATTAACAAGTCTCTTGAATACAATTGATTTTCATCCTTACTGCTACATTCTCAAAAGATATAATCATTCATAATTCAATTCATAATTTTAAAATAAAATCTTTTGTGAACCAAAAGTTTGCTCATTTCACAGAATGCACTTCATGACTGAACATTCCTTCATAATGTAAGCACTTAAGTATTGTCAAATATACTTTTCACAGGGCAGAGAATCATACCTCACTATCTGTAATTTTTAGAATGCATACTTAATAAAATCAGTGGTGAATATAATTCTGCGTTTGATAAAAAAAACACAGATAAATCAGTAGCACGAAAAAGAGCACTTTGAATATACACAACTCAAAAAGAAGCTTTAAACATCTGGATTAAATACAAAGAAGAAATTAAATTGTTCAAAATCAAACGCACTTAATATTATGGGAAACCACGTTTTCTTTTCATTTGTTTTTTAAACAAGTCACAGGCATCTAGTGTAAGAAGTCAGCGAATAATCACCTCAGCTATGACACGGGCTTCATGAATGTACTGAGAACTAGCCGACTGAGACGCGGCATTAATTCGATAACTGCTTATGCATACGAAAGATGGCGAGCCATGCACCACCTGCTTGGCAAGTAGAATGAAATTACGCTGACAAACCGGTTTATCGTTTCTCTCTTTACGTGACGACGTTGCTACTGCGTGCGAAATAACAGAACGATTGTTGACTGGAGATGCGAAAATAAACACGAAAGGAAACGGGCATGGCTTCAGGTGGCTCTTGGCCTCAGCACTCGCAAAGAACAATGTCAATCACGATAATCAGACGACATTTGAGCAGGAGTACCAACCACTACGGAATAAAGATTCAAAAAGGTGTTTTCGACAACCAAATACAGCCTACTGCCTTACGGAACAGTGCTTTCACTTCTATTTACAACGCCAGGAACTTATGACGTCAACTCTCCTTCAATGCTTCAATACAGGCCGGCACGCTGCGGTTAGCAACGAACATAGATGCCATGCGTCACGCTCCGGCCGAACTTTACCCCAGGGAATGGACGCCTGTACCCCAGAGCCAGAGGCTAGAGGAAAAATCTGAGGTTACAGACAGCATCGTAATAGGGAATATTTTCGTTGCCGAAATGGTCTTAACCTATAGAGTGATAACCTATTACTGGAAGCCTCACCTTTAATAGGGCAAAGCAACACTAGCACGTATTAAAAATCCCACTCCAACTGAACGGGGCGCGAACCCAGACCAAGGCGTTCAATTACCCGTACTCCTACATCCACAACGACGTATCCATCACACTACATGCAACAGCTCTCAACGTACTAGTAGTAGACAGCCAATATATCAACACGCTGCTAGCTCGTCAGTTGTCACTCGATACGAGCGGGGCGCGACAGTCGTGTCTTGCGCGTTGTGATGTGCAGTCGAGCTTTAGAAATTGTGAACCATGGGACAGCGATTTCGGGAAAAATTCAACAACCTACACAAATTCCAGGAAGAAAAAGGTATGTGGAGAATTGATACGTCTGTTAACTTAACATTTTCAAAGAGATACGAGATAAAGCAAACTCTGAAAGGCGGATCCTACGTCTGAAAGTTGCCGCTTTATATTATGCTATTTGTCTGCCCCACTACCAACGTTCTATCTTTAAACACTTACGACGAAAATGTACCAAAGACGTACTAAAACAAGTTGGCAAATGCAAGCATCATGTGATAAGAACGGTGCGTTCGAAAAAAAATTTATCTGGTAAGATGAAATGCTGAATGAACTGTGTCCATTGCCAACCATGGAAAAGAAAAATTGCAATACAAATTTCTTTGGTTATAGTTCGTCAATGGTGCGTCTTCTGGTTTCACATCATAACCATGGTTTCAAATGTAACAACTGTATCCACTCAACCATACCATTACATTATCGTGGATGGATCATGGGTGGAGATATAATAATCGCGAATCGTACTCTAAGTACCAGTTTGGAGTAGTTTCCAATGGCATTGGCTGATGGTCTCTAC